CTGCTTAGAAAACTGTAGCTTTATTGGAATGAATATCCCCCAGGAGCCCTCAAAGTTGAGAAGCACTTTTGTTTGCACGAAAGCTAAGCCCTGGGGTTGTCTTTTCATGGCTCAATGATTTATACTTAATGTCTGCTCCTTCCATATCCTCTAAAGAAAAACACATACGCACACCCACACTCACCCATGCTCACAGTCACTCTCTCTCTCTCAAACACACACACTCACACGCACTCTCACACACACTCTCATTCACACACTCATGCTCTCACACACTCAGACATACTCATCCTCACACACACTCACTCGACAGCGTGTCCGGGGAGAAGGGGCTGAAAAAGGAGACACTTAAGAACCAGCTTCTCCTGAGAAAATGTGGGAGACTCTTGAGAAGGGACCCAGGGGAAGGAGAATTGGTCGGGCTCCACTTTCTCGGTTTCTGAAGTGAACTTCTGCTCACAGCAGGTGAGCACAGGTTCCCGCCCACACTGAGATTTCCTCCCCTGCCTGTGTGCAGTCTGTTGAGTAAACAGAGAACTTTACACCGAGAAACGAACATTTCTCTATTTTGGCTATGGGTGGTTATTTTTAAAGCTTCATCCTCCAAACATTTTCCCCTATCCTTGTTTATTTTTTCACTAGAAAGAAAATGTGCTACTTAAAAAAAAAAAAAATCACCTTCAGGATAAGAAACACTCCCTTGTAGTGTGCTGTCCCTGCTTTGGGCCAAGTCACGCTACGATGTGACCATGGTCTCAACCTCCTGTTGTATAACGTAGCTTTTAAAGATTCCCGTGTTTCTAGAGAGCTTCCATGAACCCGAATGCCACAGTCAAAGCAAAATGCACTGTGGCGATTGTTTTCTGGATACTTTCAGTAAAAAGGCCAACCTCTCCATAAACATCTGTGGCTCCATTTATCCAGATGTCTCCTAGGAATAGCTATATACAGCTGCCACTGTGTACCACATGCCATTCTAAACACGTCATCTAAAATCTCATTTACCTTTATCAGAGAAGACTATGGCAATTGTTTCAATACATGTGGGTTAAATGTGGGCAGGCTGACATTAGTTGCAAGACTTTCTTTCTGTACTTTTTCTGGGGGAAGGTAGCCCATGGCCTTGCACCTGTCTTTTCTCCCTGTCTGTCTTGCTCCTGTTTTGGATCTCTTTATGAGCAAGGCCCATGTCTGTCTTCTCTATACCTTTATGTCTAGCACAAGGCCTGGTATATAATGGGCAAGTATGAGTTAAAGTAGGGTGAAAAAGGAAGACAAAGAAAATCTTTTTGGAAGTCTTTCCTCTGGTGGTAGATAGTATGGTTTGACTTAATAGTTTTGAGTCCTAATTCCCTCATTTGGACAATAACAAAAATACTACCACTTTAAAGGGCAGTTGTGAGAAGGAAATGGATTTATTGAAAGTACTTAGTATATTTTACATCGGTGATTTATTCCATATATGGTGTTAAGACTATCTAGCTGCCTGGGACAAATATGAAGCTGAATCCTGTCTCAATATCACACAAAGTAAACCCTGAACAGCAGGTGCACAGTGTTGGGACTGTACTAAAATCCATTGAATTGTACGCTTTAAATGAATGAATGATATGATATGTGACTATATTTCAGTACAGTTGTTGTAAAAAATAAATCTCAGAAGATGAAATATTTAAGTATGAAAACGTGGAAGTGTACTAGAGGGAAACAAAAGATAATTTTTTATATATTACTGAAAGGGAATTTTCAAGCAAGATATACTGTTCTAAACAATAAACTTGGCAGATCAATTATGTAATAATTAAATATTTTGCCAAAGAAAACACCTAAAAAAAAAAAAGGAAAGAAAAACATGACAATCCAGTAGAAAAGCATTGAATGCACATAGAGCAAAGGGCTACAATATAAAGAGTGGTTAAGAATCAACCTGAAAATGACTAATAACCCAACAGAAAAATATCAGCAAAGGAAAAGAGCAGGAATCTTAGAGAAAAAGCTTATACCAACATATTTTTCTACCAAAATCCTATTGGTACAAGCTCTTTTGCAGCAAGGTTTGAACTATTTACCAATATTAAAAATGCTTAAGTCCTCTAATCTAGCAATTCTACTTACAGAAATTTTTCAATAGCTCTCTATTCGTGTGTCTGAAGACAAAAACTTAGGAATAGTTATTTCATGAAATGTTTGTGACAGCAAAATACTTAAAGTCAAGTGAAATGTTAGCCAACAAAGAAATGGTTCAAAAAATTTTTGCACATCGTTCAGGGCAAACTTATGCTATTAGAAACAGTTATGCAGCTGTTAAGAACAGTTGATAAAGGATCCAAAATACATTAATTAAAAATAAAACAAAGTGCTTAACAATGTGCTTACTGTCCATGCTTTAAATTATTATATTTTTCACAAATATGTGTTTGCATATGCATAGGATATTTTAAATTCTTCTTGTCCCCTTCAAAGACAACATTACCCCAATTCAGCCTGTGAACAAAAAGATGGAGTTCCTTTCACATGTATTATCTCATTGAACTTCTGCAACAACCCTATGGAAAAGTTATCAATACTTTTTTTAATTTTTATTTATATATTTTTTAAAGATTTTATTTATTTGACAGAGAGATGGAGAACACAAGCAGGGGGAGCAGCAGGCAGAGGAAGAGGGAGAAGCAGGCTCCTTGCTCAGCAGGGAGCCTGATGTGGGGCTCAATCCCAGGACCCTGGGATAATGACCTGAGCTGAAGGCAGATGCCCAATGACTGAGCCACCCAGGCGCCCCCAATACCTTATTTTTTAAATGTAATGTGTTATGAACCTTCAGGTTTGCTTGTTTAATAATTGCCACTACTAGTGTTAAATCATCGAGGCTAAGGCTCTGTTGCACAGGGAAAAAAAACCCAAGTTTCTTATAACGTAAGACATCCTTCATCACCTGACCTTTTTCTCCTTTCTCAGATTAACCCCTTGTCTCTTTTGTACCTTCACTCTGCTCTTCTTGTCCATGTCTAAGACCCTCTTCCAATGATGCTTTCATATTCCTGCTCCATGAAAGCCTACATTTCTTAAATTGTCAACTCAAATGCCACCTACTAGGCGAATCCTTACCTGTCATCCTTGACAACATGAATGGTTCCAGCCCAGGGACAGTCCCTTATTATACTTCCTTCTATATTTCAAAAGCACTTTATACAAGTCTGTTAAACCTGATTATATTATTTCAAGGTTTTGAGCATATTGAGAGTAGAGGCCCTGTTTTTATTCCCATAACTACCACAAAGAATATAGTAGCAGATCAATAAATACCTAGACAAATCATTTACCTGAATCTTAATCATCTTTGATTACCCATAGATTGAAGAACTCTGTATTTTTTTAAGTTTTTATTTGAATTCCAGTTAGTGTCCAGTTTTTATGTTAGTTTCAGGTGTACAAAATGATGATTCAACACTTCCATACGCCACCCAGTGCTCATCACAGCAAGTGCCGTCCGTAATCCCCTTTCCCTGTATCCCCCATCCCCCCACCCACCTCTGTGCTGGTAACCCATCAGTTTGTTCTCAGTAGTTAAGAGTCTGTTTCTTGGTTTGTCTCTTTCTTTCCCCTTTGCTCATTTGTTTTGTTTCTTAAATTCCACATATTAATAGAATTTGCCTTTTCCTGACAGACTTATTTCACTTAGCATTATATCCTTTAGCTCCATCCATATTGTTGCAAATGTCTAGATTTCACTCTTTTTTATGTCTGAATAATACTCCATTGTATAACTGTACCACAACTTCTTTATCCATTCATCAATCAGCAGACACTTGGGCTGCTTCCATATCTTGGTTATTATAAAAAATGCTGCTATAAACATAGGGGTGTGTGTATCCCTTTGAATTTGGGTTTTTTAATTCTTTGGGTAAATACCCAGTAGTGCAATTGCTGAATCATAGGGTAGTTCTATTTTTAACTTTTTAAAGAACCTCCATAGTGTTTGCACGGTGGCCGTACCAGTCTGTATTCCCACCAGGAGTGCACAAGTGTTCCTTTTATTCCACGTCCTTGCCAACACCTATTGTTGTGTTGTTGAATTTAGGCATTCTGACAGGTATGAGGTGATATCTCATTATGGTTTTGATTTGCATTTCCCTGATCAGTGATGTCAAGCATGTGTCTATTGGCCAATTGTATGTCTTCTTTGGAGAAATGGCTGTTCATGCCTTCTACCCATTTTAAGTTGGGTTATTTGTTTTTTGGTTGCTGAGTGGTCTAAGTTTTTTTAATATACTTTGAATAGTAACCATTTATTGGATATGTCATTTGCAAATATCTTCTCCCTTTCAGTAGGTTGTCTTTTAGTTTTGTTGATTGTTTCCTTCATTGTGCAGAAGCTTTTTATTTTGATGTAGTCCCAGTAGTTGGTTTTTGCTTTTGTTTCCCTTGCATCAGTGGACCTATCTAGAAAAAAGTTTCTATGACTGATGTTAGAAAAGGTACTGCCTGTGTTGTCTTTGATGAACTCAGTATTGAACATGGCAGATTTGGGAATTGAACAATATGTCTCTTCTAGGAATTTGAAGTGAAATGTTTTATTGATGGAAAAACTTTTTATTTTTGTCTTCAAGAATTCAAATGGTATGTTCATGTTTCATGAAGAGAATGGACTACAGTTTTTTGTTACAGATTTGGAGCCAGTAGATTTTTATGAAAATGAATCTTACCATGGGTCTGAAAGCTTTCTGGGCTTTCCTTATTTATTTTTTAAGACTTATTTGAGAAAGAGAGAGCATGAGCCAGCATGTGAGCAAGGGGAGGGGCAGAGGGAGAAGGAGGGAGAGAATCTCAAGCAGTCTTCCTGCACAGCCCGGAGCCCAATGTGGGATTTGATCTCACAGCACTGAGATTGTGACCTGAGCCAAAATCAAGAGTCACACTCAACCAGCTGAACCACACAGGAGCCCCAGCTTTTCTGTGCTTTAATACTTTTTTTTTTCTTTTTATTTGCTGTGTTTTCATAGGAACCAGGGAAAATGTGTAGAGGGCATGGTGGAGATCTTTGACATGTTGCTGGCTACATCATCTCGGTTCCGTATGATGAATGTCCAGGGAGAGGAGTTCGTGTGCCTCAAATCCATCATTTTGCTTAATTCCGGTGAGTTGATAACATGGGGAATTTACTGCTAGCTTACTGGAAGAAAGATTTTATTTGGATTTTCAGTCAGATACAAGCTGCCTATTACGTAAAGGCATAACCATGAATTGACGCACACTTATCAAATCTCTTGTCATTGTCGACTGCTTAGAGAGGTGGATCCTGCATGGGTCAAATACGGTGACTGACGAGAACCCAAATGGGACACTGAACCAAATGGCTTTTTGTTGAAATATTTGCATCCTTTCACAGATAGTTGTGCTGTTTTCATTCTATTAATTTTATTTATGTAGTCTGAAGTGGATGTTTTTACCGAAGTGGTACAAGTGTATAGGCATAGATTGCTGATAGTTGCATAGCTCGGGAAGTACGTAGATCAAGGGATCAGTATCAAACTCCAGATCCTAAGGAAAGAGGCTTCTTTGAGACCAGCCATGTTTCTGGTCAAAATTGATTAGGTGACAAATATAATTGGCTCAGAGGCAAAAACACCTGGTCCTAAAACTGAGGCACACGGAGGGCAGGTCCAGCCAAAAGATTGGCTTTCCTGGGTTGTAAGGGGTTGAATTCAACTGTGCCTTCCGATTGATTCATTTGAGAAAGTGTAGGTGACCATGGCATCTGGTTTGGGGTTTGGTTTGTTTTGTTTGCAGTAAAGTCACCTGTTGTGTAAAGAGTTGGTCCAGGTCACCCGGATGGAAACTGGGGCCCAGTTGAGCACCATGTTCCTCCTGGTCCTCACTATTTGGATCCAAGCACTAGATACCCAGACTGTGGGACCCAAAGCTCCACAGACGAGTGTCAGCCACACAGTAGATGCCTTTAGCCTGGGCCTTTGTCCCCGCCCCTTCCCTACTTCATGCCTCAGACCTCACTCTCACATAGAAACTGTAGCTATTTTGAAGTCCTAGGCCTGGTTTAGAATCAGATAGGGCTTCCAGTTTCCCGAGAGCTGAACTATAGTTTGTGTTGATCACATGGGAAGAGAATCAGTACTTTCTTCTCTTTTCATATGTCTTGTCTCTTCTCGATGAACACCCACCCTTCCACACCTCCCCTAGCCGTTTTCCACTTCCCTTCCCCTCCAGTGCTAAGAACCTATATCGCCTCATGGTTAGAGAGTAATCATCCTCACTTATCAACTGATAAATGGAAATCTGTACTATTCCACTAGGCAAGGACTGAATTACGGAACAAAGTTACCTGAGAAACGCTGTGACCCACACTGAGGAAGTGATTACCGCCCCATTCAAGTTTCTGGTTCCACTCACATGCATTGTGCTTTTCATTTCAGTCATTTGTCTGGTACATTGAAGGGTTCACATCCCACAATGGCTCTTTATTGGAACAGAGTTCTGGGAGCAATGCCACTCGGCTGCACTGTGCCAGGCCCTGAACCTGGTCCTTCTTCAGTGGAGGGCTGGCACATGCTGTCGGCTTTCCTGTGGGCAATCTGTTAACTTCAAGGAAAGCAGGCCTATCAAGTGCTGGGACTTTTTTCCCACTTTTACCAGGAAATAGTACCCCAGACAGGAAGCGAAAATTAGCTGGAGTTATATAACCCACACAAGTAGATGCTCTGATCTTGGTCACCAAAAACACTCCCTTCAAATCTGTGTAGCCTCTTTCTACCTTATTGTTTTGTTCCTATGACAGGGTAGGGTTTTTAAAATATTATATTAAAAAAGGGCAAGACTTTGGCCATCAAAATATTGAATGCATAGACCCAGGATTTTTTAAATCCCAGAGGGAAAAAAAAAATGTCAGCCCTCACAAGAAAGTCTTTGTGAGAGACTGGCCGCAGAATCTCAAAACAGATTTCCCACTGCAGAGCTGGGACCAACACCTGACTCCTCCTCATGGTGGTGAATCTTTCCTGTGCTGTCCTTGTTCTTCTCCTTCTTCCTCAGAATCTTTTGTGAGCTTCCTTCCTTACACTTGCAGGGTTAGAACACTAGTTTGCAAACACAAGGCCCTGGAGTCTGACAGAGTTTACCGTTGTCCTTCTCCTGAGAGAGATCTCAGGGCTGTGGTGTGTCTTTTCTGTCAAGGACAGTGCTGCTGGCTCACAGGCAGGAACAAAACAGAAGCTGTCTCGCAAACTGTAAAAAGTGAAACCACTCTTTTCAATCCAGAAGTGAGCTATGTTTGGAAAAGCAGGTCTGCTGCTGAGCACAGCTCTTAGTGTGTCATATTATTCCTGAAAAACAGAACCAGAGAGGACAAGAATGAAACACAATGGTGTGGTGCTGGGAGAGTTTTCAGAGTAAAAAAGCAGTCAGTCCTAGGAAGGTTCCTACAATCCTAACAATCTTTGCCCACAATTGAAAGTACAGATTTTTCTAAAAGCCCAACCAATTCATGACTCCGCACTAGGGCAGTGCTTCCCCTGTCATGAGATAAGGACCAAAGGGACGGTCATTCCAGGAATCTCGGACAGAAGCCAAGTTAGAAAAGATTCAGGAAGGCTGAGCTGGGAGATGCTTTTCTGATTCCTGGGAAATAAGACCTCAGTGTATGGGGGAGCTTTGGGCTGTGTGCTATGTCCCTGTCACCAAAATCTGAGAGAGTGTATATGTTGGCCTTGACTTTGAGGCGGAGGCCAAAGGGTAGTTGAAAGGTTGTTCTGTGGACTACTAGGAGTGACTTTCTGCAGCTTCTAAGAGGGTCTCCCAAATGCTGACATTTCCATGGGAAGCCCCTTCACAGCTGTTTGGAATGGGGGATACTCATCAAGATTTATGCCTCCTTAAGAATAATTCATTACATTGCTTACAAAAGCCTAGAATCATTCATAGGACGAACACGACTTTTCCACTGTCCACTCAAGGACAGAGGCATTCCTGGTTAATCCAGACTTGCTTTAGCAAAATCAGTGCCAGCTCCAAGGCATTCCGAGAACTAGCTGGGCGGAACTCAGGAGAAGGAAACGGGAGCAGAGCAGATGAGCGCAGGGCAAAAGGTGGAGAGGGAATGGTGACAGGAGGCAGGGCTGGTGCTGAAGAAAGGGACCCAGGGACCAGGAAGGGGTCATCTGTGCCTGTTTTCCCTATTCCCCCTGCTCAGTGAGACTTTAGTCCTTCTTGATAATTCCAGTATAATTCTTCCAGACCCAACTCTGACCTCATCTCATTCAGGAAATCTTGCGACCACCCAAGTCCATAATGATTCCCTTCACTAAACTATTTTAGTTCTTAGAGTCCGTACCCTACTATCTAACATTTGGTCGATCGGTTGACTGATAGCATTCATTTGTTCACTAATTCAGAAATTTTATGCTAAATACACAAAAACGGATGGCACTGTTTTTTGGTTTTGTGTTTTCAGTTTTTTAATGTAACCTGGATGGCTTCTTCATGCATGTATATCCCGATTTCCTTATAAACTATATAAACTTTTTTTTAACATTTCTCACAGTCTTTAACCTGTGAACTGTCAATAGGTGTCACGCCATTCAGTCCTTCAGTAGATGTTTATTTGCTGGACATGACCATGGGGTCTTGGAAAGTTCCCATTTATCACATGTTCTTTCTACCATTACGAAACATGTCATCCTTTCCTGATCTAGATAACTTCAAACTATTAAACTATTAAAAACTCCTCGCGTTACTGTGATCTAAAAGGAAAATTGTATATAAGATGTTGAGTGCGGTTTATGGAACACAGTAGGCCTTCAATCAATGACAGCCATCACCATCATTCAAGAATCTCAGTTCAGAAGGAGCTAGTCCGGGGGCACCTGGGTGGCTCAGTCAGTTGAACATTGGAGAGGAACCTGCATAAGATTCTCACTCTCCCTCCCCCTCTGCTCCTTCCCGCCCACCCTCTCCCCTGCCCCCACTGGCTCGCATGTGCCTGTGGTCACTCACTCTCTCTCTCTTACTTTAAAAAAAAAAAGGAGCCATTCAATACCTTTTTTTTTTTTATTTAAAAGATACATTTATTTATTTTAGAGATCTCACAATCCTGAGACCATGACTTGAGCTGAAACCAAGAGTTGGATGCTCAACTGACTATTTACACCTTTATACATATATATAATATAAATTATGTGTATAATGAAGTACTTCAGTTTAAAGGTTTCCTGCTAGGCTTTCAAAGTACGCAGGGATGGAAGGATAATATTAATAACAGAGACAGTGACTCTTCCCCTGAGACTTGCTGAATTGTGCTGTTCAATTGTATTGAAAAAAATTTTTGAGCAAGATTGATCTCATGGGTAATAATTGATTGTTAACTGAACCTTAATGTTGGCAACCTTGATGAAAACGCTACGGTGAGTGACAGACAACTCCCAGAGCTCTCACTGGTCCATTCACTGTGTTTCTTCCCATTTCCCCTCCCACCTCCCCCGACCATGAGAGTCTCACAAGTCCTTCAGAGTCCACTCCCATTCGGATCACTACCCTTTTCGTGAGTGTTTTTCAAGACTCAGAAGAATTTACCCATCAAAGCTTAATATGTGTAAGTCTACAATCTCTAATAGGTGTTCGGTTTGGCCTTCAAAATTCAACTTAATAATTGTTTCTGCCCCTTTCTGAACCTGTTACTGACCACAGTTCATTATATTCCCCAGTAATTTCAAAGAGCATTTCATCCTTCACTCCCTGGTGACTTGATCCCCCTGGGTCTCTGGAGAACCCATCAGACCCCAGATTCCAGCTCCCCTGTCCCCTGTTTCACAGTAGATCCGCTTTCCTCTCCTGGCTCACAAGCAGCTCCAGGTACCCGAAGTCTGCCCTGGGCCTGCTGGATCCCTGCCTCCCTCCTGAAATGTCTTACTCTATGGAAATACTGTTCTCATGATTACCTGTTTATCACACCTACCTTCAGACATAGTTTCTCTTTCAGCTGGTGGAGTAATAGAGGGGAGTAAAGGTAAAAACCTGTAGAACAAAAAGGAAAACAAAATACTAGAAAGAATTACGGCCCCATTTCTAAAATGTGTACCCTGATGTTCACTTCAGAAAACAAGGGGTATGGAATGTCGACCAGGAGCA